CTTTCGCCTTCAGGAGTGGTCTAGCTGTCACTACTTTTCCTGAGTGTTCAGGTTCATGGCTCACTCCAAGAACTTCTGGCTCCGTCCTGCTGTCAGTAGTACTGTGAGAGCTGCTCGTTATTTCTTGCACTAGTCGCTCTTTTGCTTTGTCAACCAGGACAGCAGAATGGACCTGCTGCTTTTGTTGGACCTTTTTAGGTATCAGCAACGACTTTTGAATGAGCTGCTCCAAGGCCGCCTTATCGGTTTCCTGTGGTGCTGCAACTTTTGTTTCAGTCGCCTTCTCGGGAAGCTCCACTCTCGTTTCGCCCTCGTTGTCAGCTTTAATTTCATCCTGTTTTGTCGCAGGTAGCACCGGTGCCGTACATTGCCCCACTTGTTCCCGGTGGTTGCTCACCGGGAGAATTTTCAGTTCTGGCATTTCCTTGCGCTTCTTTAGAGGACTGCTGGTGATTTCCTCACATACTCGCTCGCGGCGACCTGTGGCTGTCATGACTTCGGACCTCACCCTATTACTGTCACTATCCGGTGGTGTGAACACGACATCTTTTGTTGGGTGTCCCTGCTGTTCCCCATAGACTGGGTGGATTTCTGGCATCAGACGCTCCTTTCGATCAGATTTACTGGATGCACTACTTTGCCCTGCCGAGCTGACCGCTGTGTAGATGCTCTTCTCACCTGACTCTTCTTCTGTCCTTCGAGGAGTTATAACAATTCCTCGGCTAGACTTTGGACTGTCTTGTTTGTCCACCCATATGTGCTTTCTTGCCTTTTTGTCAGACGCCTTGAGAAAGCTTCCCTTTAAAGCAGCTTCTTCAAGTAAGGAAGCAGACCTAGGCGGAAATCTGGACGAACTGATTGGGCAGGGTGTCTTGGGGCGCGTCCTCAAAGTCTCCTTGTCAGATGCCGCAAGGATAGCGGTGAGCACGTCCTGCTCCTGCTCTACACTCATTTTTGACGCTAGTGTTTCCTTTTGAGTAGTGTCCAGAGATTTTGCTGCTACACCTTCCTCAGCCGCGCCAATATTGAACAGGGACATTTTGCTCAGTACGCTGCGGTCAGCGTCTGGTGCCACATCCGATCGGCGGTCCACCAAGACCGGGTTAGTTGACTGCTCGGGAACCGCCGAAACGTCGCTTGCTAAATTCGAAGGCTATTTGGGCTATTAATTCGGAGGCACCTTCGTTGACAATACTGGGCGCTGGTGTACTTAGGGTTGGCGTAACTAGGAGGGGGGGGGAGAGAGATTCGCACCACTCTGCGGAAAACCCAACATACCCAGCCTTCTTTCCTCCAAGCCGCTTCCCTTAGAAATGAGCTTCAGGGAGATTAGAAGAGGGTACGTGTAAGCAAGTTCCTGATTTCCCCTCCGCCTGGCTCAGTTTACGTAGCGATACCTCCTGAGTACGCTAGCGCCTTAAAGGAATCGTCCACGGAAAAATCGTAATTCTATCTCCATGAGCACTGGCTTGAGAGACAAATTATTCACGATTAGAATGAAAAGGAAGAAAAAGTGGGGTGGTTTGGGCGAACAATTCGAAAAAGCGGATTTCGTTCCTTGCGCTCCCTTGTTTCCGCCCAACCTACCCGCGACCGTCCCCAGAAGCGACCGTGTGGTTGAGTGTGGTTTTTGCGAGTTTCTTTCTCTTCGAAAACTGAATTTTCTTGTGTGAAACTTTGTACATTGTCTCTTGTGACCACAACCGAGGTATATGTTGGGTAAGAATGCAAGAAATTCCCGTGAACGATTCCTCAAAACCAATACAAGTAAGCCACTCACGTAACGGCTTTTCGTCGGCCATTGTTAGTAGATAATAGACCAGTCAAGTGAGAAAGATGAAAAAAAGGAGTCACCTTGTAGGAAATAGAACTGATATTTGATATCTGCCTTAACATTATCCACATTGTTATTGACCGAAAATCGGTTGTTTTGGTTAATATGTAGCTATGGAGCGTTCAGAGTTGGCGATCGCACGTGCGATTAGGCGAGTAGGCGATTAGGCGATAGGCGATTAGGCGATTAGGCGATCGCTCGATGGGCGGAGCATCAAATCAATACACATCCTTCTCTTATCGCCTACTCGCCTACTCGCCTAATCGCCTACTCGCCTAATCGCCTACTCGCCTAATCGCCTACTCGCCTACAACGTTCTATGGGCGGAGCAAACCAATCAATACGTATGTAGTCTTCACCGCCTAATCGCCTACTCGCCTAATCGCCTAATCTATACGTATATTTTTCATTATAGACTAATCGCCTAATCGCCTATCGCCTGATCGCCAACTATGAACGCTCCATAAGCATGGTAGATGTTTACGCTGAGGGTGATAATAAGCAGCCCAAGTAATTGTATTAGTTATCCAAACGTCATTCGGCTGCTAGACTTTGTTAGTTCTAGAAAAATGATGGATGTTTATTGGTATTGGCGAACTATGAGAAATTACTGCTTTATCATCTGATTTCCTTAATACCATCAGTCAAATCCATTGAAAGCAGTATGTTCTCAGTACAATGGCCCGGCTATACTCAGTTTCACTGAAGCCTATGTTGACATGCGCGCGATAGCGGGCGGAGCAAAACTGGTAATAATAATTGT